CCTGTGGGCTGTTTATTTTTTAATTGTTTTTCCAATGTTAGAACAGCAGTAATTGAGGGCTTGGATGAAAAGAAATGAGCCCAGCCACTGATTGGAAATGAGAGGATTCAACGAAAGCTCTTGATAAAGTCACCATGCCACCATTACCAGAGCTCCAGATCTGTTCATTTCCTAACAGTGTGATACTCTCTTGTAAGGGTGCCTACTTGGATAATTCTCTGTGTGATTCCTTGTTGAGTGACACTGCTAAGCCCTGTAGCAGTCTCACCTGTACCAATGTGGACCTTTAGACTCTCCCTGTAGCAAATGAGGATGGACTTCCCTGTCTCCATTGCAGAGTAGAGGGAACTGCCTCAGAGAGGAGAGGCACCCAGCCATAAGGTGCAGAGTTCAGGGGAAGAGATCAATGCCGATGCCTGGACCAGGCCTCTCCTTGAGGTGGGTCACCGACCAGTGAAGGAGGGCCAGCCCTCAAGAACCTCTGTTTGTCAGCCAGGCGTGGTGGCACACACCTGTAATCCCAGCACTTGGGAGGCTGAGGCAGGAGGATCGCTGTGAGTTCGAGACCAACCTGGGCTACATAGTGAGTTCCAGGTCAGTCTTGACTACATAGTGAGACCCTGTCTCAAAAACAAAAACGAAAAAAAAAGAAAGAACGTCTTTTTATCACTAGAACAAACCAAGGCATCCAGAACCAGCATTGCATCCTCAAAGGGTACTCACTTCATCCTCCACACATCTCAGGGGAGTGTTCTCATACTCATTCTGCAGGTGGAGAGAGGTTTAGACTCTGACTTGCCACCTTAGACGGGGATTAACCAGGCAGTGAGGATGAAAGCCCAGGTCTGTCAGACTCTAGCTGCAGCCTGTGGAACCCATGCCCAGTGGCCTCCCAGCCACAGTCAAGCAAAGGCAGAGCCTACAGAATGGAGGCAAAGTGAAGCCTGGGGCGGAGAGAGAGTCCTGGAAGGCTCCATGGAGTAGCCTCATGGAGTATCGGTGAGATTTTTACCTGATTTGGGCAAAAGATTTAGAAAGGCGAGCCTACAGAAGTCACCCTAACCAAGTATCAGGTCACAGATCGGGAGAGAGATCTAGAACCCCTGTAACAAACTGTTCAAATCCAGTATAAAACCTCTAGAGGGCCAGAGCCAGAGCTGCACTGCTGCCTCAGGACTGGGGCCTTCAGGTCCTGATGGTTTCATGGTCCAGAACGTCAAGGTTATTGACTGACATTACACCAGCCTCTAGTTCTACGGTCAGCGTAAACTTCAGTGACAACCACTTGGCCTATCTGGAAGCCATCTATAACTTTGCAGAGGTCTTTAGTGAACATTTCCCCAAGGTCTGTGAACTGGGCCTGGTGTTTACATGGCAGTGGGTGACTTGGCCCTTGAAACCAGCAGGATGAGGCCACTGACAGCTGCTTAGGCTGAGGTCCAGTGTGGGGTGGGTAGGTACATCCCTCCCAGCTGGCAGTGCCTTCCGGAATCACCTGCTTGCTTCCCCTTTCCTGACCTGCAGCCCCGCCCCTTCTTCACCTACAGGAAGAGGGGACCCAGCTGGGTCTAAACCACCAAGGAGGAGACCACCCCACTTCACTGGTCCCCAGCTGTGGGCAGAGGCCAAGAGGCCACTTGTCCCAAGTAACTGCCATTGTTATGTGATGTCCTGAATGTGTGAAAGACCTGTTTTCCTGCAATAAAGAAAAAATAAATACCACCTCTAGTGACATATGGCTCCACTCCCAGCTACGTGGGAGGCTGAGGCAGGATTGCAAGTTCAAGGCCAGCCTGGGCTACTTAACAAGACTCTCTCAACACTAATAAATGAGGGCTGGGGATTTAGCTCTGGTTCTGGGGCCTGCCTCACAAGCTCAAGGTCCCGAGTTCGATCCCCAGTACCAGAAAAAGAAGGAGGAGGAGGAAGTAGGGGAGAAATGGGTAACATACATGAAAAAGCAATGTACATGGGAGGAAGTTTTGAATGGGCTGAGTAACAGCATGGTGCAGGGCAGGGCTTTTCAAATTTGTTGTGCATTCAGATCTCTGGGGAATCTTGTTAAGATGTAGATACTGGCTTTGTGGTTCTAGAATGAGACCAGAGATTCCTCAGAAGCTAAAAACTCCATTTGACTCAGCTGTTCCCCTTCTGGGTATCTTCAGAAAGAGTTAAAGACCTCCTATTGCAGCAAAACACGCACACGCATGTTGATAGCAGCTCAGCTCACAGTAGCTCTAGACCCTATGTCCAGAGAGTCTGCATCTCTAGCCCCACTGCCCTGGGTGCTTTCGGCCTGCTGACCACACTTTTAAGTGGGGAGGTGGTCGCTAGGGACGACTTTTAGGCCAGCCCAGTCTGAATCCTGCTGTGAAGCCCAGTCGAGTCCCTCAGTGTCTCAGCTGCGTCCTCCGTACCATGGAGATAGCAGTAATCCCTGCGTCCTATGCCTGGGGGCTAAATGGGTTACTATACAAAAAAGCATGTAGCGCTCCATCATTTTCTTTGCTGTGCAGAAGCTTTGTAACGTGATACGATCCCATTTGTTGATTCTTGATCTTATTTCCCGTGGAACTGGAGCTGTGTTCAGGAAGTCCCTGCTTATATCCATGTCTTTAAGAGGTTTGCCTACTTTTAGCCGGGCACGGTGGCACACGCCTATAATCCTAGTACTTGGGAGGCCGAGGCAGGAAGTTTGCCACAAGTTCCAGGCCAGCCTGGGCAACATAGTGAGCTCAAGGCCAGCCTGAACAACTACATAGCAAGAACCTGTCTCCAAAAAAACAAAAAACGACAAGTTTTTCCTATTTGATCTTCCAGCAGGTTGTGTTTCTGTTTTAACATTTAGATCTTTGATCTGTTTTGATTTTAATTTAACACACAGGTGACGGATACAGGTCTAGATTCAATCTACTGCGTGTGGACAGCCAATTTCCCCAGTACTGTTTACTAAAGAGGCTGTCTTTCCTCCAGCATGTTTTTGGCCGCTTTGTCAAAGATCAGGTGGCTGAATATGGCTGAAGTTGCTTCTGCCTCTTCTGTTCTGTTCCACTGATCCTCATTTAGTGCCATGTAAATGTGTCTTATTTTTTTAACTGCCGCAGGGCTGGAAATGTTGTCACTTAGGGGTAGAGCACTCGCCTAGCCCGTACAAGACCCTGAATTTGATCCCCAGAGCTGAAAAAAAGAAATAAAAAGAAGAAAGGAAGGAAAGAAAAGAAAAACAGACAGACAAAGAAGAGAAAAACTGCTGTGACGGCAATCCTGTAATACTTCTCTGCGTGTATCCACGTATAAAAACCAGGCCTGGGAAGAGAGTGAGGCATATTCAGGACACAGACTCTGAGGAAGGAGGGAAATCATCCAAGAGGGAAAAAAGAAGCCTTAAGTTTTGACATATTTATTAGAAAAACTGAAGCAAAAGTGATATTAGCATTTGTTAACTCTAGATGGTGGCTACATGAGCATTTGTTATATCACCCTTCTCAGTTGTATGTATTTTTCTTAAGTTCTTGAAATTTATTTTGGGAGCAGAGCTGGGAGGGAATGAAGAAAGCATTAGAGAGCGTGAAGACAGCTTGGTGTTGGCTGGCGAGGGGGGCACAGAACCCACCAGGCAGGTACCACCTTGCTTCAGGAACAAGTGGGAAGAGCCCTCGGAGAGGTAGATGAGAAAGGCAAAGCTCAGAGAGGTTACGGGACTTATCTGAGATCACACAGCCAGTGGTAGGGTCACTTGGGCCACTAGTTCCAAAGCTTGTGCTCTTGCCAGAAGTTCCTCAGCCCTAGCCCAGAAGACTCAGTCAGGACCAGGGGAGACCAGCAGGGTGGAGGTGGTACAGGGTGGCCCCAGCCCTTGCTTCTCTGAGAGGCAGCTACCCAAGTTGCTGCCTCTCACTGGGACAAGAGCAACACCGAAAGGGCCTGCAGCGAGTCCCACCCAACCAGAAAGATCAGACAGGAAGAGGAGGGCTGTGTGCGCCTGGCCCCTAAACAGTGCCCCTGAGAGGCAGGGCAGGGCGGTCGGGTTGGAGGGAGAAAGTGAAGTCACCACCGAACTGATGCTGCCGCACCAGGGACATTGAGGCCACCTGCTGCTCAGGGAGAAGCAAGTCCCTCCCCAGCCTCCACCTTCGTTCTCCCTTCTGTAAAACGAGACCATCACACTACTTGGGAGGCTGAGGCAGGAGGATATGAAATCGAGGACAGCCTGAATAATAGCTAGGTCCTGCCCAAAAGAAGAAAAGAAAGAACACAAAACCAAATGAGGTCCTGGGCTTCCCCAAGGGCAGCTCTGTCTCTGTTCTTTTCAGTGTCCTCCTCCAACCCTCACTACCTCGAGCTGCTGTGGCTGCCACCCACCACCCACCTGGTTGTCTCTGAATTAAATGACACAGCAGAGAGCTTGACTGTGCAGAAAGCGGACTGCAGACCTAACACCAGTGAGTGCTGACAGCTTCCCAGCCCCGGGCAAGGGGAGAGACTGCTGGTCCAAAGTGTTGGTCAGGGTAGAGATAAACAGAGACTCACACCCTAAGGAGAGGTGTACTTCCACTCCACAGGGCTTGGGGCTGAAAGTGGCGGGAGATCAAATCTCAGCTCTGCCATTTACGCACTGTGTGGATTCAGGCAAGTTACCTAACCTCTCTGAGTCCCTTTCCCCGTCTGTCAAAGGAGTAATCTGACCTATTTCATGATGTCACCTCGAGGGTCGGGTGAGAGGATGTGTGAGGGACCTGGTGTAGGGCCTGGCACATGACACTGCTCAGGAAATAACAGTTGCTGTCCTTCCGTCCTCCCTACCCTGGGGACCAGAGCTGTGCGATTTCTCCCTCTCAGAACACCCTGCTCTGTAATGAGGATTCCAGTCCTTTGGTGTCACCTCCAGAGTGGGGACAGACCTGGCCGGAGCAGGTTGCCCTGCCCTTGCCCTACCCGGGAGGGTGCTGGGAGGGGCCTGGCCTCGGTGTCCTCCTCCAGGCTGCCCTGGAGACCCGGAGGGAGCTGCGCTCAGCCCACACTCAGCCACGGCTCCCGGAGGCATGAACAAGGTCGTCCCCCAGGTGAGAGGGGAGCCAGCTCCCAGGACCAGGCTAGGGGTCCTTCAGGGGACAGTGTCCCCCAGCTGCTGAGCTGGTGTGCAGGATGAGAAGAGGCACAGGCGTCAGTGGGGAAGCGGGAGCGGGCTCAGCTGGCTGTGTCCTCGGCCTCTGGTGACCCACTGGACGAAGCCCCCGCTCTGGCTCCCTGAGGCTCGGTGTCCCCTCCCCTAAGCACAGCCGGCTCTGTTCTCTTGGACAGGGAAGTGGCAATGGCCGTGCTGCTGCTGGAACCAAAGCCCGCCCCGAAGGAGAAGGTAGAGGGGGAGGGCCTGGGCCTGTGGGCTCTGGGGGGCTGCCTTGGAGCCAGGCAGTTGGCTACAAAGGCACAAAGAGAGTCCGAGGCTTACGCTGTCACCCCTGGCCCCGTCATTTATGTTGTCTGCTCCCAGCTCCCTGCCTAGCCAGCCTGGCAGCCATTTGCTTAGTGGAACTGTTCATTCCTCTGTGTTTATGGAGCACCTAAAGTGTGCATCGTCCAGGCAGTGCACCGCATGCAGTGCCCACCTGTAAGGTAAAGCCAACGCTTCTTTCTACCTCTGAGAAATAAAGTGTGCCAGGGTCACAGTTTAATTAGCATCTATTATGTGCACTGACTTCTGTGTGACTGGAACCGTTCTCTTTGCCTATATGAGATAAAGGAAGGAAGGAACACACACTTCCTTAGCATGTCCTATGTGCCCCAGCTTGGTCCCCATTTGATCAGTGAGGAAACGTGAGAAGCAGGCGACAGTCAAGAGTGGCGGCTGCATCCGTGGGAGCTGCTGGCCCCCCACATCTTTCCAACCTCAGGGCATTCTGAGGCCTGGTCGTTGCGATGGGCAATAACAGACAGGTGAGGCAGCCAGGCAGGAGGCTGGTGAGCGGGTTGCACAGCCGGCAGAGGAGGCAGGGTTCAGCTGGACCTGAGGCCTCGGGCCGCAAAGCCTTTGCTGCTCTACACCGGTACTTGTTAGTACCCAAGTCCTGGCTTGTGGTGGGCGAGGCTGAGGAACCCACAGCTTCTTCATCTGTCCAAGGAGGGCTGGCTTTGAGGTGCGGCCCCCTCACCTGGGCGTGAGCCTCCATCTGCCAGTCCTTTGAGTCTCCGGGTAACACCACCTGGAGTCCCCCTAGTGACGCAATCTGTGCTGCACGCGTGTCAGGGGAGCAGCTCCCTGGGTGACCGGGACGCCTCTCCTCACCAGCTTCCTGCTGCCTCCCTGGTCGCCTGTGGTTGCCAACAGCAAGGGAGCCACCAGCCAGGGCAGTAGGGGTCACAGGGGTAGATTTACACTGTCCCCGCCCTGCACTCCTCCCCCCTCCACCTGGCATGGTCGCCCTGGCAGCCTCGGCCCACATCAAGCTCCCTGCAGTGCTGAGCTCTGCCCTGCTCCACACCCCAGCCCTTCCTGCCACTCCCCAAACCTGCACTGAGCAGGTGAGGGGGTGCCAGCAGGTGGCTCTGGAAATGAGGGCCTCCCCTGTGGACACTTCCCTGGCTGGTGCAGTGCCCTGGGTTCCCTCTCCCAAGCTGCAAATAATATTAACAATAATAATTACCAAAACATAAACACGAAGAGTGGCTTGCATCTAGCACTTACTACGTGCAGATTCTGGTCCAGAATTTAATTCATAAAAACTAATTCTTCCAACAAGCTCTAAAGTAGCCATTAAGAGCCCATGTTCCACATGGGGAGACTGAGGCACAGAAGAGTGAAGTGACTTACTCCACACAGGCCAGATAGGAAGTGGTGGATTCTAACAAGCATCCTCCTGGGCTCCAGAACAGGCATCTGGACTTGTGCAGAGGGAAGGTCGTGGATTCCCGTCCCACCTGTGCACAGGCGAACCTGGACCTTTGCTTCTCTGAGCCCCAGTTTCTTCACTGATAAAGTAAAGCGTGGCTTTGAAATAGATAGGAACAAGGTCTACGTAGGGCCTGGCAGGAGCTGAGTACACAGGTGTCCATCTCTCCCTCTGTCCCAAGGAGGCCACCTGGGCGAGGCTGAGGAGCAGAGCCTGCCAGGTGGCACTTGGTGGCATGGGATCCACAGGCAGAGCTGAAGAGCATCATGGGGATGGCAGCCCCTCCCCCAAGCAGCCCTCCCTGCTCCCACCCCTGGTGCGGGAGGGCTGCTTGCAGGGGCAAGAGCCAGAGGGGACCTAGGCCAGTGCTGGCACCAGCCCTGCCTTTTCCAACCCTCCCAGGAAGCCTCAGCCTCTGCTGCTCCCGACGTGGGGCCTGCCTTTCTGCCCTCCTGCTGCTCCTGCTGGCAATGCTTGCTGCCCTTGTCGCCCTGGTTGCCAGCCTCGGACTCCCATCACGCACACCAGGTGAGGAGAGGGTGGGTCAGACCTGCTGGGGATGGCCTCGGGGAGCAGGAGCACGGGGAGGCCAGACCTGCCTGGATTCTCCAGCAAGCGATTTACGGCCAGTGCCTTCTGGGGCAGACACAGAGCCACACATCCTGTGCCCACTCACAGATGCCCATGGTCCGAGCCTCTGTCTGCACATTCCTGACGGGGCTCACGATGCACTGATGCACACGGACAGACCTGCTGCCGTGTGGTCAGCACATACAGCCTGCGGGTCAGGGTGACCACCGGCTCAGCTGCCAGTCTCTCCCCTGTGACTCTCTGGGGGAGCCCCCGGGTGGGAGGCTAATGATGACACTTTGCAGAGCTGTTTGGGGGACAACAGAATAGATGTGCAAAACTGCTTTGCAGCCTGTTGTGCCCAGATTTAGGGCACTGTGACATATGTTCTCCAGACAGCCCAGATACATCACATCTGACAGATATGACACCAGGATCACCAGCATAAAGCCACCCAGCAGCCTGTGGGATGGCAGATATGTTGTCACTAAAGGTGTGGACCATGACTTTTCTACATATATCCACAGAGAAGCTTTTATTCAAACCCCACCACCATTCATAAACTCCGGGGGTGCACTGTGGATCCATTTTGCAGTCAGAGAGAGGGCGGGTCGTGTACCCAAGCTCACACAGACAGCAGGTGGCTGTGCTGGGCTTGGACACTGATGTCATTGTGTCCTGGCCTCCCCCTAGCCCAGCCCTCCTGGTCAGCTCGGGTGGCACTCATGCTGGGGAGACCAGCAGTGATTGCCCCTACCCAACTAGGTGCTGCCTTTGACCTTTGGGGCCTCCTCCTGCCCACTCAGGGTTCCAGGTCTGTGTGACGCTGACCAACAGGACAGGCTTCCTGTGCCATGACTGGAGGAGCTGTGTCCCTGCCAGCACGGTGTGTGATGGCCTTCCCACTTGTCCCCACGGTGAGGACGAGGACGAGAGCTTGTGCCGTGAGTACCTGTGCAGTGGAGCTCAGCTCTGAATGGGCCTCTGGGGCAGCCTCTGCTTCAGCTCCCACTGAGCTCTGGCTTCGAGGGGTGGAGCCTTCAGCCAGGACTGTGACATGTACACGGGGCCACCTTCACAGTGGTGTCCTCTGCCCAGAGCCTGGCTTCATCCTGCAGCACAGTTCAAGGGCTGCTCCTCCATGAAATCTTCCCTGACTCCTGACCAAGTTGAGGGCCCTCCCTGGGGCTCCTCCCATCCCTGTTCCTCCCTGTGGGCCAACCCTGGTCACACCGGTGTCACATCTGCCACTGTGGACGCCTCTGGAGCAGGTCGAGTCTGCTTGATCTGGGGCCCTGTGCCTGGCGTGACTTCCCAAGTGAATGAGCAAATGAGTAAGTGGGAAGACCTGGCAGTTCTCAGGAGAGCTCCCAGCTGGCCTCATGGAATCAATAGGAGAAGCAGAGTCGGTGTGCACCCACAGCAGAGGGAGAGCTGGGGGCCATGGGGCACCTCTCCCTCTCACACTACCTCCCCAGGAGCCTCCCAGCCTTCCTGGGATGGGAGGGAGGTGACCCTGAGCTTGGCAGCTCCAGATGGTCCCATGGCAACTGCGGCCAGGTGTGGACTCTTCTGGCCACTCCCGGCCCCCTGCAGGAGATGTGCCCCGGAGCCTCCCCAGCTTCCTCCTGGCCGGTTGTGGAGACCCAGCTGCCTGGATCTACTCTGACCAAAAGTGTGATGGGACCAACAACTGCGGGGACTGCTCTGATGAACTGAGCCCAGGTGGGGTCGCAGTATGGGCTGGGCTGGAGCAGGTGGCCAGGCTGCAGCCAGAAGGCAGATGCCAGCCAGAGAACCCCCAGCTTTCCCACTACATGCCTTCTGTGCTCCAGGGCAAGGTGCTCACTACCGCCCCAGCAGCTCTCCCTGGAGGGTCCCTTCCCTTCGAGGGTGGTCATGCAAGGGATGCAGGCACAGCCCACTGGGATCTGAACCTGGGTCATCCTTGTCACCTCCCACCGGCCCTGTGAGGGAAGCAGGGCAGGGATCGCCGACTAATTTGCCTGTATGTAGGGAAACCGGAGCCCTGAGAGCAGAAGGGACAAGTAGAGGCAGGAAGGCAACCGGGTGTGGAATCCACCTCTGAGGTCCCTCTTCTCCCATTCTCCAGTCTAAATCTCTTCCCCAGGATTCAATCAACAAATGTGCTCCAAGCACTGCTGGGGCAGGGCCTGGTGCCACAGGGGTGGAGCATAATCAGAGGTCAGGCACGCCCGTCCACTGAAAGTACATCGTGCTCTTGCCAAAAGGAAGTCCTAGGGCTCCGGACCACGGCAGGCTTCTCAGAAGAGGCAATGCGGAGCAGGCCGGAGAGCAGACAGAGTTCACAAGGCAGGGGCTGGTGTGTGAGGCGGAACACCGGAGGCCCGCGATAGGGCCTCAGGGGTGGTGTGGCTGGGGTCGGGGTGAGGCAGGGAGGAGGAGCAGGTGATGGGAGAGAAGACCTGCACTGCCTGTCCTCTGTCACTGGGTGATAGTTCTGAGCAGACGAGGAAGGTGGGGCTCAGACAGGAAGGATGTGGTCACAGCACCTACGGGTTGTGAAGCCCTCTCTGCCGCGGGAAAACCACGGACGCGGCCAACCCGGGTCAGCAGGGGTGCGGCTAGGAAGCTAGGGCAGGTTTCAGATCTGGAAGCCAGGGTGCACCGGGCGTTCCAGGGCACAGCAGCCACCCTTCTGCCGGCTTTTGTCTCCCCAGTGACTGCGTGCCCACCCTGCGGTCCTGAGTGGTGGCGCTGCACTTCCACTGTCTTCCAGTACTGTGGCTGTATCCCAAGGGCTCTGTGCCAGGACGGCACGCAGCACTGCTCCGACTGGTCCGATGAGTACTCCTGTCTGCGACCCTGACCCGGCCCTCCAGGCCAGCCAGAGGCTGCTGGGAGTGGCATTGATTACTCCCCCCCCCCGAACCCTGAAGCCTGAAGCTTTCAAAATCATCTCATGGGGTGTGGGGTGCAGCTCCGTGGTAAAGCCCTTGCCTAGCGTGCACGAAGCGCTGGCTTCCATCTCAGCACTGCAACACGAAGCAACACAAACCACCCAGTGGTGCCTCCACATCCTCTCTGAATAGGACTTGGCACTTCCGCTTTCCAGTCACTCAGCCTCTCCGTGAATGCTTCTAGCGACAGGGAGTTCTTTTCACATGAGGCAGCTTCACGCAGGAATGAGAATCGGCCTCTGTGTTTTCAGATCTGTCTGAGGCCGCACTGGAAATCTGATCCTCTGCTCCGAGACAGGTTTGCAGATCCTGATCTTGTCACCCATTGGAGAGAAGATCAGTCTGGGGCCTCTTTGCCAAGCTGAGGAGTTCAGCCTTCCAGGGTGGCACGGAAGTGAAGCATCTGCTACTTCCTCGCTGCTGGTACTTAAGGCAGATATGCTGGGTGTTTCTTGTTGACTGGTCATGTGAGATTGGGTGGGAGGCAGGGCCCTTGTCATCCCACCAGCAGGAAGCATCTGGAGACTTGCAGCTTTAGAACAGAAGATGTGGAGAAAAGATGGCTCGCCACTCTCTGTCTGCCCTGCCAAGCCCCAGCTGGCAGCTGGACAGCCTAGGTTTCCCAAAAAAAGGATCCGAGCCACAGTGAGCTGCTTCTTTACATCTGCCCACTTCATGACACCCAGGCAGGCAAGGGTGGATGTCTGTCAGACAGATGGGGAAACTGAGGCCCGGCAGGAACAATAAACCCAGGATCTTAAGCAAAGTCAGGGTTAGAACTGGGACTCAGACACAGCCAGCCACACCCCAGCCCAAAGCCTTTCTAGCTGTCCACACAACCATGACCTGACGGGGCGCAGAAAGTGTCCCACACTCATTCTGGAGATATGGAGAGAAGGTAGACTCTGGCCAAGGGGAGGACTCCTGTCGAAAGAGACAAATCTAGTGCCATTTGGTTTTATAGATCAGCCTGGTGAGTTTTGAACTGGAAATGGGCAACAGAGAGTAGTGAGCGCAACTTTATTCATTGCTCCAGTCCTTCCTTCGCCAGCTTGCTCTGAGCACCTGGGCTCAGTCACGGGGTGCCAGGCCCCTAAGGAAGAGGCCTGGGAACAGTGGCTGCACCTCACATCATGCCAGGGTGGGTGGCACATCGGGAAAGGCTGGGCCCCAAGAGGAGCCTGAGGGAACCAGGCCATCATCTGACTCCATCCCCGACTCCCTACACTGTGCTCCTGGAACCTTCCACTGGGTTTCTCTGCAGCTGCAACCTGAGCGGGACCTGTGGAGTCCCCACCCCATCCTGGGCTCCCCACAGTTTGCTTGCTGACCCAGGGAGCCTCCTTCCCACAGGGCACTTATGGAAGGAGGTGGGAAAAGGATAACCCGGGTCTCTTCCTGTGAGGAAGGCACAGGCTGAGCAAGGTTCAGCCAGGAAAAGTCCACCAGGCCAGAGTGGGCAACGCCCAGGTGAGGTAGAAGGGAGAGATGCATGAGAAGGGAGAGGGTCCAGTAGGGCACAACGGGTTTCATTGTACCCCAAGGGCAGTTGGGCATCAATGGGCATTAAGCAGGGAAATGCCTATTCTTAGAGCCCCTCATGGGACTCGTTGGAGAGGCGAGGCAGCTGGCCTGTGTGTGACGAGTGAGGGACAGCTGCAGCCCAGCAGTAAGGGTTGGCCGTCCCATGTTGCCTTAGGAGAGTTTGCTACAGAGGTCACCTGAGCGGGATCAGAGAGGAAGAAGCCAGGGGCACAGTGTGGGGGAAGGGGGTGTGGCACCCCAAGCTGAAGGGGTGGAAATCCCAGATGCCTGAGAGGAAGAGCTTGGCTTCCAGGCTGCCAAGGGAAGGACCTTGCCTGAGGCTGCACGGTGCTGGCCAAGATTTTCAGCAGGAGAAACACAGGTGATCTGCTTTGAGAAGGGCTACACAGAAGGATGAGGAAGGAAGAAAGGTCCAGTGCCCAGCAAACTGCTGGGCTTCTGGGGAGGACAAGGAGAGGTCCAGAGACAGCAAATCTTCCTGCAGAAAAGGCAGTACCCAGCACTATGCTGGCAGTGTCACAAGAATTAGAAGCCAGCGTTCAAGGGGAAGGCTAATCTCTAAACTCGGACCCTCATTTCCTCCAATCTTCACAAGTACTCTGGAACCCTGGTTTGGTTATTCCACTTTGCAGAAGCACAGAGAGATAAAGGTGTTTGGCTAGGATCACACAGATTTTAAGATGCAGATTCAGTTGCTCATCAACTGGAGACTGGATAAAGAAGAAGTATTTTTTTTTTTAATCAAATGGAATGCTACTCAGCCATAAAGAATGAGAAACTAGAGACATTTATAGCTACATGGATGCATACTGAGGACATACTCTTAAGTGAGATTAATAGTACACACGTGTAAATACCACATAGTTTCTCTACTGTGATAAACTGAAAGTGTAAATAAGGATCAAAATGTATAACTGATACTGTATAATGGGAATAAAGGTCTAAAGATGTAGGGGAAGTAGGAGGGGTAGGGAAAAAGTACAAAGGGAAAAGAAAAAATAAGAGAAAAGAAAAAAAATGGAAACAAAGTCTTTGTAAACAGGGAAGGGAAGGCAGAGGGGGTGAAGGGAGGGCAGGGGAATGGGGAAAAATGGAACCAAGATCTGTTGTGTAAAAGTACAAGGTCCCAGTGATGAATGTAACTGTATTGCACACCTAGAATATACCAATAAAAAATAATAAAAAAAGATGCAGATTCAGGAGCTAAACTTTGACAGGCTCAAATCAGCCCACCAGGGCCCTTGAGTGTCTGCCTCTCACTGAGCTAGGTCTCACTAAGGGGCAGCTGAACTCAGGCCAGGGGCTCAGCCTGCAAACAGTTAGTGGCTGGCGATGGCAGGAGAACCTGCATTTGTTCTTCTTTGACTATTGGTTCTCCCTCCCGGGAAGGAACAGGGGCTGAACTAACCTCCAAACCGCACATCCCACAAGGTGGACCTGGGAAGACCCAGGGCAGAGGAGTGGGGCAGGCCCTCCCCTGGTGGCGTCAGCAGGAGCAGCCTGGGGCGAGAGCTCAGCAGCCAGCATCAAGATTTGCCCTCTCCCTCCCTCCCTGGCCCTGGCTCCAAGATCAGGACTTTAAGTACAGCAGGTTCTTTGCTGTGCAAACACAGGGCTAGATGAAAGGAATGAAAGGGGCTCCGGCTGGGCCCGAGGGTTTGGACTGGAAATCTGGCCTGGCTTAACTGTCTGCCGTCACTGTTTGCCAGGAGCTGTCTCTTCATCCTTAGACACACAGCTGCAGGCATCCGCGTGGGCAGGGATCTTGGAGCACAGCCTGGCCTTTGACGAAAGAGGACACTGCTTCCCAGAGGGGAAGGGGACCTGCCCAAGGCTGCATTGCCTGGTGGCTGTCACATACTCACTCAGTGGTCCCCACTTGTTGGTGGGGTACATTCCAGGACCCCCCAGTGGACGGGCAAAGAGCACCAAGCCCTGCATGTACTATGTCTTCTCCTTTTCGTACATTCCTAGGATAAAGTTCAATTCATAATTAGGTACCGTAAGAGATCAACAGCAATAGCGAATAATAAAAGAGAACAGTTATAACAACATACTGTAGTGAAATTGCCAGCATCACTTCTCTTGTGTTTGGGGACCATTATTAAGTAAAATAAGGTTTACTTGAACCCAAGCAAGACTGTGCTACTCCAAAGGTCCATGGCTATGAAGTGACAGATGGCAGACAATGTACACAGGGTGGATCTGCTGTCACAGGCACAACTCACATCCAGGAAGTTTATCACACTCCTCAGAATAATGCAGTATTTACAACTTATGAGTTGTTTTTTTCTGGACTTCTCCATTTCACATTTTCAGAACACAGATAACCACAGGTAACTGAAACCTCAGAGGGTGAAACTTTAGATAAGGAAACATGTATATGTGTATGTGTATACATTACATATGTGAAATACACAATTTTTCTTCAGTACTAGGGATTAAACCCAGAGTTTTACATATTCTAGGCAAGCACTCTACCACTGAGCTACATCCCAGCCTTTTCTTTTTTTAAATTTCGAGACAAGATCTAAGTGGCCTACGCTGGTCTCAAACTTGCAATCTTCCTGCCTCAGCCTCCCAAGTAGCTGGAATTATAGGCATGTGCCAGCACATCCATCTGAAATGCACAAATCTTAAATGTATAGTCCAGTGAAGTTTCTTTAAAGCAGGCGTCTTAGTTACTTCTTTGCTGCCGAGATAAAATACCAGATATTCACATGCTGAAGGAGGAGGTTTACCTTAGCTCACAGTTTAGGGAGGTTTCAGTCCGTAGTCAGCTGGGTCCAAGGAAAGGTAGCAAGGCAGAGGGTCATCACAGAGGAGGAACAGTTCATGGCAGGTGTGGCAGGATATAGCAGCCTTCCTCTTTATTCCATCCAGACTACAAGCTCATTGGCTACAAGCCACCCACACCCAGGTTAGTCTTCTCCAGTAAGTCCATCGTCCACACCCAGAACTGTGCTTAAACTCATCAGTGGACAATCCAGTATCACACACCCATGATCCAGTCACCTTCCCAAACCCCACCTAAGCATGCATGAGGCTTTGGGGAGGCCAAAACAGCAGTGTTTTTTTGTTTGTTTGTTTTGTTTTGTTTTGAGGCTATAAATGACAGACAATAAACTATATGAATTTAAAGTATACATTTTACTCATTTTTATATGTCTACTGTAAGAAATAAAAAAGGAGAGGGACTGGGGATTTAGCTCAGTGGTTCTGGCACCTGCCTCGCAAGCTCAAGGACCTGAGTTTGTTCCCCAGTCCAAAAAAAAAAAAAAAAAAAAAAAAAAAAAAAATGAAGAGAGAGAAAGACTCGCAGTAAGGACAAACTTTATTGAGATATGGATCTGAGAGGGGCCTCTGGCTCCAAAGTGCCAGAACAGCAGCTCTCTTACAGCAGCTCTCTTACAG